CGTGTAGTGTGTGTGTGTGTGTGTGTGTGTGTGTGTGTGTGTGTGTGTGTGTGTGTGTGTGTGTGTGAAAAATCGTACATATATTTGTTATGTAAGTTCTCATATCTCAGTATCTTTATAAATTAGAAAAAATTTTTATGTGATTACGCATGAGCAACCAATGTTAATACCATAATTTTACTTATATTAGGTACGTTATTGATAACCTATGTTTTTTTGTATATATGTTTTTTTATAAGAGAATTTACTATACATTTTATATATGATATTTTATATTTTAATTTTTTTTCTGTGTTATAATAATTCTTAATTATTGTAATATTTTTAGAGGGCACAGTGCGCCCTCGCCGCTGACCGGGTATCAACGGGCATGACTGCTTCTACGACTACGTCCTCTTCTGTAATCTGAAATAAAAGAAATTACGTATTAACATAAATATTTTACATAATAGTATTAGCAATAATAAATAAAACATAAAAATAGCATGTTAATAAAGAAATTGAATATTATTTGTATGTGTATGTGTGTTCAGATGTATATGTGTCTTATTATTCAGATGTATATTTTACTATTTCTTTGTTGCAACTCTTGTTGCAGCGGTTGCTGCATCTGATTTTGTTGTTGCTGTTGTCCCTGTTGCTGCGGCTTTCGTATTTCCTCACGCAACTCTTGCAATTCCTTCTGCAGCTGAATTATAATTCGTCGCTATTGCTCCGAAGTTTCTTCCAATGATGATGGTGGAGCAGACAGCTCCTCGTCTAACAACATTTCTTCGTTTTCTGAAATGATTAAGAAAATATATATTTATTTAAGTTTCATTTTCTAAGATCTACTATTCTATTGCGCTCTCCTTTTGGTGCTATGCATTTTATATATCAGCAAAAATTTGTAATTTGTAATTGTAAACATTGGTAGAATATGTCGATAGTCACTTTTTGCTCTTTTATATTCCTACGTTCTTAGCTAAGAAAACGAGAATAGTAAAAAAAAATAGAGAAAGTAAAAAAAATAATAAGAAATAAGTATTGATATAGTGTTGATAAGTATTGAAACATGAAATTATATTTTGAACAGCAATAAAATATATATTATATATATCCCGTTTTCTTAGTTAAAAACACAGGAATACAAGAGAACAAAAAGTGAATATCGACCAATGCTTACACTTACAAATTTTTGCTTTTTATATATATATATATATATTAGGTGTACAAAAAAGTTCTGAGCTTTAGATTTCATACAATCGAAATAACAATTTAAATTTTATATATCTTCCCGCCCTTTTGCGGTTTTAAAGCGTTGACATTTGGCCTTCTAAAATGCCATATGATTTGACGTTTAATGCATATAACCTCAAAAATCAGTAGTATTCACGATGGCAATAACAAAAGAGTATATTCGATTTTCCATCCACTTCGCGTTTCATCTGAAGAAAAATGCTGCTGATGCCACTGCAATGATTTGTGCTGCATATGGAGAGAACGCTGTAAGTCATACTACATGTAAAAGATGATATCAAAAATTTCGCCAAGGAGATTTCAGTCTTGAAGATGAATCGTGTGCTGGACCCCCTCAAAAGATTGAAACGGACGAATTGCAAGCACTGCTAGATATAAACTCTGCGCAAACTGAAAAGGAGCTTGCAGAACAACTTGGCGTTACGCAACAAACCATTTCCGTACGTTTACATACGATGGGAAAGGTTCAGAAGGAAAGCAGATAGGTTCCGCATGAATTGTCCGAAGACAACAAAAAATCATCGGCGTGACACTGCACTCACTTTGCTTT